CTCCGCCTCCCAAGTAGCTGGGACCACAGGCGCCCGCCACAACGCCCGGCTATTTTTTGGTTGCAGCTGTCATTGTTGCTTGGCGGGTCCGGGCTGGGGATTCAAACCCGCCACCTTAGGTGTACGTAGCTGGCGCCTTAGCCGGTTGAGCTATAGGCGCCGAGCCGAAGGATACATTTCAACTCCATTCAGACTAATACAAAAGATGTAAAGTTTCCATCTTTTTATGGCTGAATAGTATTCTGTGGGATACATATACCACAGTTTATTAATCCATTCCTGTGTTGAGGGGCACTTGGGTTGTTTCCACATCTTGGCGATTGTAAATTGAGCTGTGATAAATAATCTAGTGCAATTGTCCTTATGAGAAAGTGATTTTTTTTCTTTTGGGTAAACACTTAGTAATGGGATTTCAGGATCAAATAAAGGTCTATTTTGAGAGTTCTCCATACTTTTTTCCAAAGAGACTGTATTAGTTTGTATCTTACCAATAGTGTAAAAGTGTTCCCTTCTTTCTGCCAGCATCTGCAGCTTTGGGACTTTGGGTTGTGGACGAAAATGTGGAACACTTGATGAATTTCATGTCATCCTTGCACAGAGGTCATGCTAATGTTCTTTGTATCGTTCCAATTTTAGTGTATGTGCTACTGAAGTGAGCACTTTTTATTAAACTCGGACTCCCAGAGTGCTAAGATTACAGCCATGGGCCACCGTGCCCACCACTATTTTTACAACTTTTACATGAGACTAGTATCATTTTAAAATGAAGTTAAAAAAGTAAAAAAAAAAAAAATTCATTGATGATGCACTACTGCTGGACTGCACCAAGGCCCCCAGGTTAAGGACAGCAGCAGAAAACCTGGGATGACATTACCCTCCTTTCTCTCCTTCTCATCCACTTCAAGGAACAAGAGATGCAAGAAATAGCTGTGTTCTCTCTCCTTTATAGGGAAAAGTCTGCACTATTTACTAGCGGATTCCTGTATAAGCCTGAGGGTCAGCTATTAAATCTCCCACTAAAATAGAAATTCCTAACCTGAGGTTCATCAGCAGGCTACAGATACGCTATTATCTCCCAAAATCATGTGTAAGCATATGAGCAAATGCTCATGTGGGTGCTTGAGGAGGAAGATGGTCCATAGCTTTCATCATATTTTCTGATGGTTCCCTAACTCAAAAACTCTGCATTGTTTTTTGCACTACAAGAAAATATCCTTGGCTTGGCCTGTAGCTCAGCAGCTAGGACCCCAGCCACATACACAGGGCTGGCGGGTTTGAATCTGGCCCGGGGCCTACCAAACAACAATGACAACTACAACCAAAAAATAGCCAGGAGTTGTGGTGGGCCACAGCTACTTGGGAGGTTGAGGCAAGAGAATTGCTTAAGCCGAAGAGTTTGAGGTTGCTGTAAGCTGTGATGCCGCACCATTCTACTAAGGGTGACATAGTAAGACTCTGTCTCAAAAAAAAAAAAAGAAGGAAAGAAAGAAAATATCATTTACAGAGCCCCACCCACAGCACGGGCTCTTTTACTTGACTGTCTTTGTCTCTGGTTTCTCTGGTGTATTTTTCCCCTCATGGCTTCCAGAGGCTTTCTTTCTGCTCAAACCCGAGATAAGCCTAAACAGATCTTTTTCCTCAGAGCCTCCAGCCATTTACCTGGTTCCTGAAAACTCTGAGACTCATTCCTCAAAAACCAAAGGTAGCCCCAGAGTGAGCTGTGCATAGGGCAGATAAGGAACTGAGGCCAGTGCAGGACTAGCCTGGCAACGAAATCTCTCCCCTCCCTCCTCAGGCTCCAGAAAAATGTGAACTGAGTAACAGTGCGTGAAGCACACACCTCTGGAAAAGCTCACAGTGGAGGCCCTGGATGGCCCGAGTTCAGTGCGCTCTACCTCGGGGGAGGCAAAGTTAGTTTTAATATCATGTCTAGTTACTGTGTGTTTTAGATATGTTGTAAATATATCATGCAATACATTCTGCCTTTTTAGCATCCAGTGATTTAGGTGAACTATTTGTGGTATTATTAGAAAAGACATTAAGTATCACCAAGGATTTACTTAACAAATAGGGTTCTTCAGTCATTCAGACTGGTTTTTAACTCATGTGAATGGGCTGAATACATGTACATAGATAGCACTTATGGTTCTCCAATATTTGCAGTTGTCTTAGCAACCCTTTAATAAATCACAATTTGAGTCTTTTACCAACACAAGCATACTCTGTAAGGGATGCTAGCTGTTGTAACAAGCATTTCAGAATCCCACTGGCTTAATGCATTCAGGGTCCAAATCAGTTATTCCTGGTTTGGCAGTTCTCCTTCAAGTGACTCAGGGATCAAGACACCTCCCTTCTTGTGATGCTATCACCTTCAGCATGTGGTCTCCAGAGTCACTATAAGGGGTAGTAAAGAATGGAAGAAGCAAACCACATCAACTGCCTGCCCTGCTAGTAAGTGAAATGTATCCCTCCTCCCCTCAGGTAGGCTGCGCAACTGTATCTGCACAAAAAATCATTTACTGATTCTGAGGGAAACACCCAGAACTCTTCCGTGGATAAGTAACCATCTTTTATCTAGTCTTTTTACTGGTCAGTTAATCGTGTGTATGTGCGCAATCGTGTGTGTGCGCGCGCGTTCCTTCCTGGCCTAAGGTATGGACGAGCCCTCCATATAGGAAACAATTGTATCATAATTCGCATGTGAGCAAACATAAATGATATTAACCTTTTAGGTTCAAACATTTGTTGGGGAACAAAGCATATTTAATTTATTCAGAGTCATCCAGCCATGTAGAGAATCACAGAGAAAGATTAGAAGGGACAAGAATGTGCATGTCTTACTGCTTCATGAATGTTATCTTAAGAGTTTCAAACTACTTTAAGCAGCTGGCAATAGGCTAGTGTGAAACATGTTTCCCCTTCAAAAAAAAAGTCTTTGCCATGGAATGTGTTACATAATCACAAAGTGCACGTGTCACTTTTGCTTATTTGCTGTTAAAGGAAAGTAAAGTTGTAAAATTTGGACCACTTATCTTATTTGCTCAAAGTAAATCGGTGTCTGAGCATGTGCCATTCGTCTGTGTTCAGTGTCTGACGGCAGGAAATGGTTCACACTGAGGGACTGAAAGGCGATCATGAGAGAAATCCCCAGACCTGGAGCTGTAATGCACACTTACTAAAGGAGTGCTCCGTCTACCCACTGCTCGCTGGGACTGGGCTGCTCTACCTAAGGAAAAGGTCCACATAATTAAAATTTGTAGTCTTTTGCCTAAGCAAGGTGGCTCACACTTAAAATCCTAGCGTTTTGGGATGCTGAAGCAAAAGGATTGCTTGAGGCCAGGAGTTTAACACCAGCCTGAGCAGAGCAAGACCCCATCTCTATGAAAAAAAAGTAGAAAAATTAGGTGGGTGTGGTGGCAGGTACCTGTGGTCCCAGCTACTTGGGAGGCTAATGTGAGAGGATTTCTGGAGCCCAAGAATGCACGGTTACAGTGAGCTATGATTGAGCCCCTGCACTTCAGACTGGCCAAGTAAGACCCTATACCTTAGGAAAAAAAGGAACATAACTCAGGCTTATGTAGCATCTTCTAATTAGCTATCTACCAGTTCCAGTTAACTTAACTTCTCTTCTCTTCTCCTCTCTTTTCTTCTCTTCTCTTCTCCTCTCTCCTCTCTTCTCCCCTCCCCTCCCCTCCCCTCCCCTCTCCTCCCCTCCTTTTCTCTCCTCTCCTCTCCCTCTTCTTCTGAAAGAGTCTTGCTTTGGGGTAGTGCCTATGGCTCAAAGGAGTAGGGCGTTGGCCCCATATGCCCGAGGTGGTGAGTTCAAACCCAGCCCCAGCCAAAAACTGCAAAAAAAAAAAAATAATAAATAAATTAATTTAAGAAAAAAAAGAGTCTTGCTTTGTTGCCCTCAGTAGAGTGCCATGTGCACAGCTCACAGCAACCTCAAACTCTTGGGCTTAAGCAATCCTCTTGCCTCAGCCTCCTGAGTAGTTGGGACTACAGGCGCCCGCCACAACTCCACAGGTCTCTCTCTGGCTCAAGCTGGTTTTGAACCCGTGAGCTCAGGCAATCCACCCACCTTGGCCTCCCAGAGTGCTGGGATTATAGGCATGAGCCTCCTTGCCCTGACTTTTCTTCTTTCTTTCTTTTTTTTTTTTTGAGACAGGTTGTCACTCATTTGCCTGGACTAGAATGCTGTGGCATGATAAATCATAGCTCACAGCAACCATGAACTCCTGGACTCAAGCAATTCTTCTGCTTCCCAAGTAGCTGGGCCTACAAGTGTGTGCCACCGTGCTTAGCTGACTTTTTTATTTTTTGTAGAGGTAGGTTCTCACTACGGTGCTTAAGCTGTAGACTAATACTTTTGAAATTTACCATGTGTAAGAATCATCTGAGGAACCTATTAAAACTCAGAGATTCCCAGCCTTACTCCCTAGATTCTGATTCAGTAGCTCTGGGAAAGTACACATTTAAAAACACACCCCAGGTACTGATGCATGTGACCTGGGGTCCATGTGTTAAATAACTTAGACCTTGTGGCAACTTGTCTTTTGGTTCCTAAAAATAGTTTGTCTCAAAGCTTCAGATATGCTCTTTGTCTCAACCAGCACTGAAGCCTTCCCTACTTGACAGGAGAGCTTAGAACCCAGAGAGGAACTCCTGATGGTTCCTCTCAACTGGGCAGTGGACTTATCTTATAAACCAACACTCACTGCCCGAGCTCACCTAGAGAGACATCAGCAGCTTTGCTTCCAAGTATAATGATAAGAAAAGTTGGCTTTAGTGTGAGCGGTTTGCATTCAGAGCTCAGCAAGCCGCCCAATGCTGAGAATAAATTAAAGCTAAGGCTTGGCACCTGTAGCACAGTGCTTATGGTGGTAGCCACATACACCAAGGGAGCTGGGTTCGAACCCAGCCCAGGCCAGCTAAGTGACAATGACATCTGCAACAAAAAATAGTTGGGCATTGTGGTGGGTACCTGTAGTCCCACCTACCTGGGAGGCTGAAGTAAGAGAATAGCTTAAGCCCAAGAGTTTGAGGTTGCTGTGAGCTGTGATGCCACAGCACATCACTGAGGGTGACATAGTGAGACTCTGTCTCAAAAATAAATAAATAAAAGCTAAAAATATAGCAGCATGGCCCTGGATTGGCCATCTCTTATTCTATTTTATTTTTTTGAGATGGGGTCTTACTATGTCACTCTTAATAGAGTGCAGTGGTATCATGGCTTACAGCAACCTCAAACTCTTGGGCTTAAGTAATTCTCTTGCTTCAGCCTCCCAAGAAGTGGGGACTACAGTGCCCACCACAACGCCGAGCTATTTTTTGTTGTTGTTGTAGTTGTCATTGTTGTTTAGCAGGCCTGGGCTGGGTTTGAACATGCCAGCCCCTGTGTATGTGGTCGGTGCCCTAACCACTGGGCTACGGGCACCAAACCTGGCTGTCTCTTTTTAAAATCAGGGTGTAAAAATTAATAGCAGAAGGAGTAATGATGAGAGGAAAAACCTGAATTCTGGAGCTTTACTGGAGCTTTAAAAATGGATGCTTGTTTAATTGTCTGTGATTTCCTTAATCTCCAGAGTGTATTTTCCTGGGTTATGTGATCCCTAATGAGTGGGTTGCTCTCTGAAGCCTTTGTTTTCCTCCATATGCTA